AAGAGACTTCTTAAGTCTTGTAGTCTATTTCTTTCTTTGGGTTCTATAGATACTTTAGAGTATCTTATTTTCTAGGGTGTTGGAAATGTCAAGCTATGTATTTCTTCTCTTTTATAATTTTCTTTTTGTCACATACCTGATGGCAATAGGTGAAGCAAAGCTTTTTAGCCTCTATGGGGACATATCTAAATGAAAGTACTTCTATAAATGCTCCTGTTGACTGGGAGAGTTACCATGAGAAAGGAAATGATTTTTTAAATCATTTTTTAAAATGATTTAAAAAAAAAAAATATATTGGAACAGATTGCTTCTACACTCTGCACGATGCTTCTATCTGCTCCTTCACTTGACTGGGAGAGTTACCATGAGAAAGGAAATTAGCATGCATGATTTAAAAAAAAAATATATTGGAACAGAGTGCTTCTACACTCTGCAGGATGCTTCTACCTGCTCCTTCATTTCCTAGGGCCCAGAATCAGATCTACACAGTTTTAATCTCATTTAAATACTAATTTTGTTATAAAGTATTGTTGGAAGGTACCTTGAAATTGATTCATGAGAGGTTATTTGGACACATGGCCAAACTCTTTTTTCCATTGCTTTGGAAGGCAAATGGAGACTGATCAGAATCATCAGGAGAGAATCATCAGTTAATAAAGGCAGCTGTGGAGGTTTCGAAGCTCAAGAGAGGATGTACACCAACAATAAAATTGTGCTGTCCCTGGCTAGGATATGGCAACATAGTGTTTTCCTGTTAGACACAGCAGAGTTAAACCCCCAAACAGAAATCCTTGTTAGTTTCAGCGGGGAAGTGAAGATATTTCTAGCTCTTCTTAAACAGGAAAGAGGGATCAATTATTCTTTGCTTAGGGTCCTTGCTGTGATTAAACTCTAAGTGCTCACCAAGGCTTTTATGGATTTCTAGATATTGTGAAAATCTGTTCTTTATGTCCTGTGGTTTCAGAACTAGGTACTTACTTCCTCTTCAGAACCAGAGGTGACCAACAAGGCCTTTTCTCCCTGCCTCAATATACGTCTGTTAGCATGTTGAAAGGAAAGCAGATTTGAAATAATTACATTCTAAAATTGTCAGGGTTGAATGAGTGCAATTGAGGTCAAATAGGATTCAATAGAAGTGACCTGAAATGAGGTAACATTCACTTCAACTAAGCTGGCCTGAACACTGAATCCTGTTTTTCAAGGAAAACATATTCTATTCCCAAATGCTTTAAACCTTGAAACTGAGAGTATAGGATACATTCTCAAATTATTATGCTGCAGACACTTTATTTGTAAAGCAGGTCTGCTGGAACATGCCATGTAGTCACAGTCTAATGCTCAGCATAACTAGCTATGCCAAAATGATCTGAAATAGAAAAGTACAGCATGTCTTTTTTCTGAATTTCTCCTATGAAGAAGCATCTCTACTGAAGAGGCATGTCAAAGGGGAAAACATAACGATACGCATATGATCACATGCAAAGTCTGAAGTGGAACTGGACCGTGACATGCTTCATGTTTCCTCAGCCCTTTCCTATAAATGCCAGATTTTTCTGTGTACGCTGGGCCTGTACTGTTGTGAACCTCTTTAGGTGGACAGAGAAGAGCTGTGTATATCTCTATGTATCCCCACTTGGTTTATAGCTACAACAGCAAATAGATTAACACTGATTTTCAGTTAACTGGGAACAAGTCCATAGTTTTAAAAAATGTTTTAATTTGATAAATTAATTTTATCAAGTTAATCAAAGCATTCAGCTCAGATTATGCAGGAGTAATTTTAGTCTGAAGCAGAACTTGTTTACAGCTTGGTTACGTGTATGTTTCTTGGAAAACTGGGGTTTATAATAGAGGTGCTCTCTCATTCATATGTATAGTACTACATTCCTTGTGTTAACAGGGCATTACAAATAATTTATTATAGGACTTGTGATTTGATCTAATAAAATAAGATTGTGACAAGTGTGTGTTTTCTGCACTGGAATCTGCAGAAATCTTTCTTACATAAATAATTGAAAATGACAAGCTTATCTTTAAAAACGAAACGAAACAAAACATATTTTTGCCCATTTTGCCTCCACATTTTTTTCTAGGAAATTATTTAAAACTGATTTACTTGAATTTGCATGTGTCCTGCTATAAAGCATCATCTGATTATGTGTCATCCATAAATCTGGTGCAATTTTAAAAAGCATTCTACTTTTGTGATGCTTATTGATCATAATAAGCACACTGTGTTTTCAAGACAGTAAATATGCTTGGTTATGAATATCCCTATGTTGAGTTCTGAACTTTGCTAACAATTTGAAAATCCATATGAGCCATTTCATCTGAGGTCTTTGCTGTTCTGAAACGTTACAATCAGTTAAGTGTGCTCTCCAAGAAGCAGATATTCCTTAAAAATTTTAAAACTATATTAGTAGACTTCTCTACCGAGTCTTCGTATTTTTCATTTTTATGGCTAAGAAGCTAAAGTGGGGTATGTTCACACAATCCAGTCAGTGAAGTTAACTTAAAGACAGCAAGAGAGTTTATGCATATTCTTGGTCTCTCCCTGTTCAAATGCAGAATGGATGAATTAAAATGACATATGAAGGGTGCTTAGGAATGTAGTTTACCTATCTATTTTTTGATGATTCTATAAGCTCAAGAAATATTACAAATACTAAATATATGCCTGGCTTTATAAGTACAAACCTCTGGTGTTGGGTTAAAACTCAACATAATTTTGTAGAAACATTTTAGAAGTGTGTCTTTGTTTCTGTTCATTGATGCAGCAAGGCTACCTGCATACTTCATGCATGAATACTTTTTATTTATGAAAAATGTAATGTACAAAGATCTTGCTACTCACGTTTTCTCCCTTGTCGCCTTTACTACCTTTCTGACCCGGTTCACCGATTTCACCCTGTAATCGAAAGTTAAAAGTTAAACTTCTTGTTTAAAATGGTCTCCTTCACACTTAGCTGAAGTCAATATCACAGTATCTTTAAATGTTCCCTTTGATATGTTTATTTTGTGGTTTATGCTGCTGCAAGTTTGAAGGCCCAAAGGGTGCTATTCTGCCTCGATCAATATTATGTCATATTAATCCAGATATTGATCGCTATACTTCAAAGGGCAACAAGACCTGGCTTTGAAGTATAGTGCAACTGAGCTCTAAATAAAGGAAACTGTGTTCCTCATGTCACCTTCAATATGAACATATAATGAAAGCACTCTGATTTACAGACTCATCTAACTGTATGTGACTGAACAACTGCTTCCCACTGTAGTGCACAATATTACAAAGCTTCAAAATTATTCAAATCACCAGGATACCACGTCAGGAAAAAAATGTTTTCTTTATGCAATAATAAAAGACAATTAAATTAAATCACTGAAAATACTCTCTGTGGAATAAATAACACTCATGCATCACAAAAACGGGCCTCAAAGTCTTTACCTTTACCCTGTGCTAACAGAACAGCGCTGAATCAAACAGACATGTAAGATGATCCTGAAAGACGCCATGTCCTAAATTATGGCAGAAGTCAACTGAGTATCTCTGCTGCGAACATATTATTTTGACATTCTCAACCTATCAACAGTGGTTCCAAATCACTAGACATTACTGAGGATATTTTATTTTACTCATTCAGTAAACCAAGTTTCTAAAGTAGGCAAAAATAAATTTTGGCATAATTTGTTTTGATTTATTTTGCCCCACTTTCATCTTTGTTTCTTTGCCAGAATAAACATTAGTCTACTAGTTCTTGAACACAACTCCCAGTGTCCCATGACAACTGTCCCTCAGACATCTGATTGTAGCAGAGTTTTTATATGTTTTTTGCATCAAGTGGAGTGTGTCTGGTGGGCAGGGGTAGCAGATGCTTCGCCACCGTATTTATTGCGGGGAAAGCTACAACCAGAGAATTGTACTGACAGATCTTATCACAGATTCACTAATACCAATTATATTGGTTCACCTTGTCACCATCTTCTCCAGGAGAACCACTAGGACCAGCAGGACCAGGAAGTCCTACAGGACCCTGTACTCCATCCCGTCCAGCTGGACCTTGAGGACCCTTTTCACCCTGGTTTTGAAGAAAAGGAAGTGATCCACATTATCAAAGGATACTAATGAAGATTTCAATACAAGTAGTCACACTGCCAAAATAATAAAAAATAACCAAAGGAAACCAAAACAAAACCCAACAGTGAGGGAAACTATAAAGAAAAGATAACATATCAGAAAATTACATTAAGTAATAATGGAAGCTGATGACAAATGCTCTTGTACTCTAATACAGAGTGGTTACAAAGTTTTAATGAAAGACCGATTTGACAAACTTTTTTATTGTATTCACTCCCTGCTGTGAATTTAACCTTAGTGGATTTAACCCTTCTTGGGTGTTAAGAGGGTATGACAGTAAATGTTTTACTATTTATAGTTAATTGTAAATATAAAAGGAGTAGGTCAGGTATTCTGAGGATATGTTTAATAAGCAAATACTACAGTGGGAAAAAATAATATTTTGGAATGAAAAGTCTGTGCTGTGATGGTTTTATGTGACTCTGTGATTACTTACAGGAGCACCCTTCTCCCCTGCGGGGCCTGGAGGACCCTGAGGCCCAGGACGACCTGGTAGACCAATTGGGCCAGCAGTGCCTGCTGATCCACGTTCCCCTGGTGAACCCTGGAAAGAAATAAAGTACAAGACAGTTCTGATATAGCCCTGATAACTGTTGGTGGTTTTCATTACCCAAGTCAAGAGAGAAGATACCTGTTATTCAGTGAGATTCCAGCTGGTAGAAGGGTACCCATTTAGCATGTGTGCAAGTAATGAAAAAGGCTGAAAGAACTAACCTGAAGTTCACACTCAATAATTCTTTTTCCTTCTGTGTTTCTATACATTAATATACTACTCTGATGAAAGAATATTCATTGTATTAAAATACAGAACTAACCCACAGCACAACCTGAATTTTTAGTCAAGTTTTGTATTGCACATTTCTGTGATGGTCAGTATGTTTATGCATTTCAATTCACCTGTGTAAAAATCTATTGAATTGTGACTAATTTGATGTGTCACACAGAGGAGGCTTGGATGTACAGGTTTCTTTATATAAGCACAGAAACAGTTAAAAGTCTAATACTGCAAATTAAAGGGGAAAAGACAGATGCTGTATATAAAAAAAAAACCACAGGAATTCTGTATGCTAGAATATATTTTTATAGAGAACAATAACAGAAGGGAATAAGCTTTATTCTAGCATCAAAAAGCCTCACTTTTAAATGAGTCATATCACTGGCATTACTATATTCCTTTAATTGTCTAAATAAGGTGGATTTTTTTTTCTGTCTGAAACTACCAAAGTATCCATAAGTGAAAATTTAGTTTCTACCTTCCTTGACAGTTCTTTCTTTGAAGCAATGTAGGGTTTATAGCTGTTCTATAAAAAGCCATTCTTTCTTTTAAATATGTCAATCTGCCACAGAGCCAAGCTCCATAACCTTTCATAAATTGAGCTGTGCCTTTATGGTTTCCACCGGATCGAGCTAACTAGACAAAATGGAGAGAATGATTAGGTAGTAAAAATCTGCAGTGCTCTAAAAACAGCAATACCTAGGGCAGACTGGTTTTTCCTGCCTTATTGCACTTTCTAAGAATACAGATGGCAGACACTTTTAAGTAGTGCTGCAGGGTAAAAAGGAAAGGAAATAAGGTGTTCTGGTAGTGAGAAAACCTTCCTGAAAGGATACAAGGGAACAGATAACACTAAAGATAGGAACTCCTAATCAAATAAATGGAATTTCAGAATCAAAATGTTAAATTTTGGTCTAATAGGTAAAACTATTTCACTAATAGCAACACAGTTATTCTTGAAATCTGTGGACTCACTGGAAACTTAGAAGCATTTTCACACTTCTGCAGCATCCTTGTTTTCTGTCCTTTAAATAATTTACAAATTTTGCATCAATAGAGCACTGTTCAAAGTTCATTTGCTGTATAGTAATATTTCCCCAGGTTTTGAGCTTGATAACTACAAGATAGTTTGTAACACTTTAAATTTATTTATGATTTCACTTTCCAACTGATATACTGGAAGTGGGGTGATACACCACTGATGGAATGGATAAGTAATAGATGTTGTAGCCTGAGGCTCCAAATAGCCAGGTTTTTTTCCATGTTTAACCAAAATCAGATTTGCTGGCTCTTGGAACACTGGAATTTTAAGATGCTTTCACCTGTGAGGGTCTAATTTTTTGCTTTTATTTGTGACATACTTTTCTTGGACTGACTTTGTTATCATAACTGGTACTAATTCCGTAAGAAAGTGCTTTTCCCTCCGGATAACTGCAGCAGAAAAGAATGCTGAATAGTTGCTCCAAATATTTTTGCAAATTATCTCAGTAAGATCTAATTTTGCATGAGTGTTCAAAATTATTATTCGTGATGGAATCATAGATGCCTTTATACTTCCAGGTGCTGGCAGTTTTTTTAAGTCTGGGTGGATGCCTAAGCGTCAGTCCTATTTCTGTTATTTCCGTTTCTAAGACTTCAGTGAATTCAACAAGAAAAATTCACTAGCCTGCAGTTATACTACTATAGTCTCTAATCTTGTCAGCTCTCATAAGCTAAACAATTTTATGTCATCTCATCAGGAAGATGCAAGAATAAAGAGGAAAAAAAATCCAAATAACTCATAGATATTTCCTATAGTAGACAGCAGACACTAACAATGGCCATGATTTCTAGTAGTTCTTTTACTCAGCCAACTTTTCATGTTTATCTTTTCACCATTTTATTTGTTATTCTTATGTTTCATACAAGTTATGAACAGGAAGTACACCTGTTTTCAAGGATTCTCTCATTTTTCTCTGAGACTGATCTCTGATCAAAGCAGAACACATTAAATTACAGTCACAACTCCAAAAACCATTTTAGGCAGCTTCTTCAGCCTGTTCTCTTTCTACGTTTATTATCTTTTTTACCACTTTGTCCTACTATGAAGCAATCCCCTTATATTATTAAACTTCTTGTTAACCTGTGGTCTTGCAGTGGTACTCACATACTTAAATCTTTATATTAATTTCTGGAGGTTTTTAATAACTTTTATATGGAATGGGGGTGTCATGCCTTGTCTTGTACTTCTCTTATACAGACAATGAACTCATTACTAACCTTGTTACTACTAACCTTGTAGTAATCTCACTTTCTGTGAAGAGATATGCAATTATAGCTATTACACACATTACAACATCGTAGCAATCCTTTTTACTGATGGTTAACAGGTGAAGATCCTCATGACTGAAAAATGTTATCAGAGGAAGACAGCTCTAGATAGATCAGTACTGATAATGGGGTAGCCTACAGCTGGCTTATTCCGAGTCCAGTTTGGGCACCCTATTCCTAAATTAGCTAATGAAAAGTGACTGACTGACATTCTGAAGAGCTTTCTCTCATCAGCATTCAGCATTCCACACAGTAGTGTGAGAATGGAAGAAAACAAACAGAAGACAAAGACAGCAGATAAAAGAGAACAGTTTAAAAAACCCACAACAAACAAAAGACCCACAGCAACAACAACAAAAACCACAGGAAAAAACCTTGCTCTGGAGTGCATTCATGCATCTCTTTCTTTTGTCCAAATTCCTCTAAGCACATTAATTGGCATGCACAGTATTTGGAGTGGTCATTTGTTTGGTGTGCTTGCAGATGTATGTGCTAGCCAAATAAAGCTTATAATTGACTATATATGCTAGTTAGAAGCAATTGGTATTGGCAGGGAACTGGAGGAAAATCATCCAGTGGCACGAATTCTTTTCCTATTATAAATGGCAAATGAAGACTGCATTATAACTATGCTTCTGTGTGTACCCTCTGTTGGCTAAAAATAGATGAGAAAATATTTTAGGACTATTTGATGCTCATGGTCTGCTATGGTTACTGTGAAAAAAGCAAGCTACTGTGGTTTAATTGTCCTTGCAGATGCACAGTATTAAGGGCACCTATGCATCTTTTTTCACTGAAATACACTTTCAAGATAATGAGTTAGTAATTAAAGATGAAATAGAAAAGAAAAAACCACTTAGGATTTCTGGAATACTCTCATGGCACCTTAGTGCTGTTGCTGCCTCAAGTGGCCTGCTTGCACTACAGTGAGCTCAAAGCATATTTAATAAAAAATGTTTACCCATCAAACTGTCTTTCCACTCTAATTGCAGTTCCTGCTACCACTACAACTACTTCTCAAATATTGGAAAAACAATATGCAAAAAAAAAAAAATCTGAGTTTCCTAGGTGGCTCTTTTGATGACTATATTTACCTCAGTGCAGGAAATGTGGCCCTGACAGGAATGGATTTATAAAGTGAAGAAGCAGTTGGTACTGTGCTCTTGAAACTCACACTCTCTGTATTTCTGGACTATACTTCACAATAATTTGAATCTGGCACTGAACTCCCATCAGCTGGAGGGTATTAGAAGCGCTCTTGGAATTTCTCTTCCAATTTAGTTTCACATGAAAAGAATACTGCTCATGAGCTCTAAGACTGCTCCATGATTTGAACCAAAGGATGATAGATGGGGATAATTGAGGCATTCAGGTCAAAAAGGCTCTGATGTTTTGAACTAAAACACCTATGTATACACACACTATGCAAATTAGAAAAGACATGGATTGTCTGAATTTAAATTCAAAGACGTATATTTCAGAATATGGACAACCATCACCAAATAAGATTTGAGCTTTTGCCTAACAACTTTACGTGATGCATACTTATGAGAAACTATGATAGCAGTGGCACAGCTAGTGCCATCCTTTCAGGGAAACTGGAGTCCGTTAAATGTCAGGTATGCTTGTGCTACCTGGTTTGTGCATGCTCAGAGAGTTCTGGTTCACTGCACCTGAATTAACTATTTGCTTGAGAGGTTAGTCCAGCCTTAGGGCCTCCTTTATCAAAAAAAATCAAGACATGACCTTTAGATCGCAGAGACTATTCTGGTCTATGCTTTCTTGACTTGATTCACTTTTTCTTCTAACAGTTCGGATGGGATGGAATAGTATCTTTTTGACTTTCC